CAATATCAAAGGAGCTTTTTTCTTTACTGGCTCACATCTCCTTCTGTCCTTCTTCTATTGCGTTTCGGTAAGTAGAAAAACATATAATGGCTCGCACGTTAAACTTCGGTAGTATGAGAAAAATGAGGAGAAATAAAGCGGTCAGAGGGGTTGGCATAAAGTTTGGCACGGGGTTTTGACACAAGGGTTGGTGCGGAGTGCGAATGACGAAAAATTCAGTGTGCAAGCTGCAGCCATTTTTTGGGTCGGACTAGGGGTAACGTATAAGGGGCCGGGCAGACGGCAGGCCCAATGGCATTGCGCGCTCACTCTCCTACCCTGTTCCTAACTAAGCCGCCCGCCGCCCTACCACCCCACCACTATTCCGCAACCCCAACCCCATGTACAGGAGCCGGGGCAGAAATGCCGAGCGGGCCCAAGAAAAAAAGGGGCGCGTGGTCTCTGCTGAAAAAGAGCGTATCCGCGTGCTGGAGCGATCCATCGGCGACTCAGTCCATCTGCCTGGGATGCCTGGTTTTGTTCACTCGTAGGGAGGCTACCGGACAAAAACTCGCCTAACCCTTCCTTGATTACAATGGTTGCAAAAAGTAAAATACTAACCGCTGCCCGCCCGCCGCCACGACGTCGCCGCTGCCGCCTCAACTAAGAAACTAGACTCGTTTTTGTATATGGCCAACGAGAACGCGCTCCGACTACGTCGAGTATCATGGACACAAAGAAATGAGTTCTTCTACGCTTCTTTCGCTCGATCCTTTTCTCGTTCCGACTTAACCGAGAGTCCTATTTACCTCGCGTTTCTTCCTCTCTCTTTCTCACCCATTGTCCTGTTTTACGCTGCTATTATCTTCTAGACAAAAACCGTACTTTCCTCGTTCCCATCCTTGTTGTAGTCACCATCGTAGTTGTCTACGATGTCCTCCTTGTTGTCATCGTCAAGTCCAGTGACTTGCAGCCTCCGTACATCGCTAACTTTTGCGTTAACTGACTCTTGTTTTTTTCTCTCCCCACCTGTGTACTCATCACACTAGTTGTCCCATCGACATCACGAATTCATTATTCTCGCAAGCACAAAAGCTCCTCTTAATATCCGGCTACAATCCTTCTTTATCATTTAGTTATAATAAACTAATTATCGGTTTGTATATAATCCTTTTCATTTCCATTTTTGTTTCGTAACTTTTTTTCATGAATTTTCTGAGGACTTCATACACATGCTTTTTATCGAAAAATGTTATTTTTCTCTATTATTGTGTTTCTGAAGCTTCTTATCAAAATTAAATTGCTAATAAAATAAAATAAAGATACGTATAATATAATGATACATATTTCTTTTTCATCATATAAAGTAAGTTATTGAATAGCTTGTTAATAATGTATAGACTGCAAATGAGTATACATCAAAGCGTATATAAGAATGTGAGTAGAGCATAAGTAACTACATCACGATAGGCCTTGTATCTCTGGTACGCCGTATTTTAATAACTTCTGCAATGCGTGAGAGACTGCAGAAGAGAGAAGATGAATAGGAGGAGACAGAACGAAAAGAAAGAATAAGAAATAACGAGAGGGAGTGAGAGAGAAAGAGCAACATAAGGTTCGCGGTAGTCCCGCGTGTAATAAGAGCCGACGGTCAGTTTTTTCGATTCGCAAACTGATCCTTCTTTTTACTGACTTCGTTCCTCCTTTTCGTTGTCTTTTATTGGTCTCTCTCTCTCTCTCTCTCTCTCTCTTGAACGCGTACCACCGCTTATAAGTTGGCTTCCATACAGCCTATTAATTTATACGCGATCTTTGCTTGTACGTGTGTGCACGCGCAACTTTTTCCCTTCAGTTCTGCGAAATTTGCAACAACTAATCGGCTGTCCGCTTACGCAGGACCTCTTTTTATTCCAGTGCAATTCTTTATATGTGAAGCTGTACAAGAGTCGTGCAATAGGAGCAAGGGACACGGCACGAACAAATTTTCAACAAAATTTATTTAACGCTCACATATTGTGTGCCAACTTTTTACTATAGTCCCTCGTTATCCCCACCCTCGTCGATCAAAGCAAATGGAAAAAAAGTTTTAATTGTATATTTCCTATCGTATTAGCGACACGACTAATACCTTCCTGTTTTTCTTTTGTTTTGTTGCTTTGCTCTCTTCTGGACAATGCAGTGGTACAGACGTCCATGCCTCAGAATGAAGCCGAATTACAGCTGTACCGAGTTATGCAACGCGCCTCACTGCTCACCTACTATGATACGCTTTTGGAAATGGGTAAGCGTCAATGGATTTGCAAAATAATGAACTTAAACGAGGGGCGATGGTACTCAATCTTTCCATCCATTGGTCATGTATATGATCGTTATTAAAATTTTTCCCGGTATATACGCAAAAGATTGCTTAATGTAAGGGTGTACAAATTAATTATAAGCATTTGCCTTTACTATAACTCACAGATATCTTTAAAATCAATGTTCCTTAAAATTTCATTTCAAATTAATATTTTAATTTCATAAACATAAAAACTTTAAGTTATTTTGATTAAACAAGTAGTAAATATTAAAAACTGATAAATTATTTTATTATTGTTTTTAAATAGGATAGAATAAACTGCAATATTGACAATTTATTCTTTCATTTTTTTATTCTTAGAAACACAAATGAATCAATGAAAACAAAGTTTGATTATGTATCTATTATAATGCTAAATAAAAATCTGATATTAATTTGATTAATAATTTTTATAATATTTAATAAATTATATTGCTATATATATATACAGGTGGTGACGATGTACAGCAGCTCTGCGATGCTGGTGAAGAAGAATTTTTAGAAATAATGGCATTGGTCGGTATGGCCAGTAAACCTCTGCACGTACGCCGCTTGCAAAAAGCTCTTCAGGAATGGCTGACCAATCCCGGTAACTCGAATTTCCCGTTACCATCCAAAAACATTGCTTTTCAACCAGGTTTTTAATGACTTTGAATAAATTAATCTTCATGCGAAATTATTCAATGTCTATTTCAGCAAGTGGGTTTTATTGCATTTTATTCATATTGTAATCGCATTCCTTGCAGCAATGTTTCAGGCGCCTGTAATGATGCCACCCACAGTCGGCACGACCTCTTCTAATGCGAAGTCCTCCGGCTCCTCAGCTTTCCCATGTATTGGCAGCTACAGCCCTAATACGCGACAACAAATTCAGGCCACGGCGACTTCAGTATCTAATCTAAGCTCAAGCGCCCCGACCGCGGCGCTAAGTTCGATCGTCACTCAGGGTACGGTCACTAAGCAGCTTCACGTACCTCCGGTAATTGGTATCGGTTCAACCGGATCGGTGGCTCAACCTGCTGCTTCCCAGCTCCTTAGTCAGTTTCAGACAACATCGAACTGCTGTTCCGTCCAACGACGTAAGAGCCCTAGTCCTCCAGCCATCACTCCGTCCTATCAAATACCGAATGAGGCGCTAGCTTCAAACCTTCCGCATAGCCCTGGAGTTACGCAAGTCGGTAACTACGAATCAAGTTCTTGTGGTAGTCAAGGGACAACTCCAAGTCCCGGAAGTAACTCCACTCTTGCAATCGCACCTTCCAGCCCAACTACAAGCCTCCAGCCCTCGCCCGTGCTTCTAGAACCACAGGTTCAGCGCCTGGCAGACGCTGCGGAAAGACTTGCAGCAACACTCAGACCCCTTAATCCTAAGCCACAAAGTGGTATTAAGAAGAAAATATGCAAAAATCTTGAAGTTAGTTGAAAATATCGAATTACCTTGAGCGAATCTAGAGTCACATGTGGTTATTCTTTTTCTTTTATGTGCAGATGGTGATGGCGATGTCGGACAACGATCCTCGTAGGATGGAAGAAATCCGGAAGTATGCCGCCATTTATGGGCGCTTCGATTGCAAGAGGAAGCCGGAGAAGCCCCTTACACTTCACGAAGTATCGGTAAACGAAGCTGCGGCCCAAATTTGTCGCTTCGTACCAGCATTATTAACCAGAAGGGACGAACTTTTTCCCTTGGCAAGGCGCGTAGTGCGCGACTCAGGTCATCATTATACTAAGAGTTTGCTGCACTCAACGTAAGTAAATGATAACTGTAAGATGTATTTATTCACTACTTCAGCTGTAGAAACCCGTAACCCCGTAAACATATACGATAGGTTGAACGCGTCACCCCGAATGATGTCATCAAGGGAGAATGGGGACAGCGAACTGTCTGGTGGTGATGAGACTTCGACAACAACGTCGGACATAGCCAAGCGGCGTAAGCTTGATATGCGTTGCGAGGACGAGACCATGAGGGACGCAGGAAATAATGTAGAGGTGAACCAGCAGCAGGTTAGCCAGCCACGACCGCTTAAGTAAATTTCGCGGGACCATTAATCGCATTATCGATATCGCCTAATCGCAAGCGTGTTGCACGCTACGCAGCATTTACTAACAGTGCATCACACTCGCGCCGAATACCTTCAACCCGTTAACAACGTAATCTGACGCGGGGCCGATCTTGAGGATCTCTAAAAAGGTCAAGTATGCAAGCTAGAGCTTTTCTTGCTTTAACTGCGTGATCCTTATGACTACGCTTTATGCATGGCGATGCTTAAATTTCGGATAAATATTGGAAAAAGGCTTTTTACGTATGCATGTACACCGGTAGTTACATTACCTTATGTATGGAATATGTGGTGGCAGAGTAATTTATATATTTATTTATATCAATTGTAATTAAATGAAACGCATGAGATTTTTCGAGGTTCTTATTTCTATAGACTAACGTTTGATTTTGTAATGCTTACTTATAATTTTTTTTTCTATTTCCATTTATTGCTCGATACGGTTTGTAGCAGATACATCCCTGTTCTAGGCGGAAGCTACACGATTGAGGTACACCAATTATAATCGTGGTATAATAGGTATAGACTCTGATAGCAATTCAATACAAGTGCATCAGAATCGACACCGAAAGCGTCAGCGACGACGCCGACCATCCAAAATCAATCATAAATCTATGTCAAGGTTTATATATTTTTATAAGTATTTTACTAGTTTCACAAAATATTTATTTTATAATTATTAAATTATAATTTTAGTCCCATTTGGAATTCCTGTAGTGATAATAGTCACATAGTACTCGACGGGATCGTCGAGGAACTTGAAGATTCGGATGGCTGTTATTCTTCTTTTGATGAAGACTGGGATGACTGCAACGACGACGAATGCGATAATTTCGGTGTCGACACAGACGACGGTCAAGGCAACGATTGCGACGACGACACATCAACCCCTGGATCATTAGTTCATGTAAGTTATTGAGAAGTTATACTTGTTGCCATGCAACCATTGTATCTGGATATTAAATTATTTTATTTATTATATGCAGAGTACGCAGAGTAGAATTGTTATTGAAGAAGACGAATCCTGCACGATAGATAAAGAAAATGACTTTAATTTGAAGGTAAAGATTAAAAAAGGGAGACTTTTACATAAGACAAAAAAATTTTTTGAATTATTTAACATGAATTATATTTTTTTCAGGTTATTGCCTCTTGTGGAGATAATATCATAGCAGTTGCTAATCCTGCTTTGATGAATCGTAATCAACCAAATGCAATCACAAAAGAACAACCAATCAAAGAAGAAATTCCACTGCGCGATAGAAGAGACTGAACTAAATGGTTTTAGCTTTTACAATCTGAGCTTTATTTGAGAATTATAAGCTTTATTCTTTAAAGTATAAACATTTTATTATATACCTGCGATTTATTGCAATATAAATAATTCAAATGTAAATATACTTTTGAAAAGTAAAATGTTTGTTAATTAAAACTATCATTACTATGAATACTTCTTCAATTCCTTATCTTCCTTTGTAAATTGAAAAAGTAAAAATTAAAATGTATCTTTATAAATTACTCGCTTAAAGGAAATTCATCTACTTTCATATCATTTTTTAATTTTATTTTCATTTTATATTGTTTTATGATTTTCAACAATCCTTAATCAAATATAATAACTAAAAATATTAACACTAAAAATGACACTAATAAACATATAAACAATCAAATATATAATAAATTCATACATTTAATTTATCTTATTTTATCAATCATAATCTAAATTTTTTCATGATTTATTAATATCATCTATATTTTATTTTGTTACTATATTTATTAAAAGGTAAATAATCATAATTTTATGATTTCTAACAGAAAAAATTTGATAACCTATCAAAATTTTTTTTAGAAATATATAATTTCATAGAAAATATTTTTATATAAGATATTTAAATAATAAGTCACGTATAATAATTAAATCAACTTCGTAAATCTAAACATTTAAAATCCTAATTACGGCAGTCACAATGAACAATTGTCGGTTGTAATGAGAATCCCTGCAATTTCTGTATGTAGTTAAAAATCCGGATGTGACGTAGCAGCATCGATAGAATACCTACATGACTACAACGCTATAATCTACAATTCCAGACAATATTTCAGTTTGCCACCTCATCGCAATGTTGATGATAGTGTGTTAGATATTTATAATACTTAACTTTAAAAACTAGTTATAATTAAAGTAACGGTACTTTGAAAAATTAATTATATCAATTAATTTGAACTTGCATTAAAAAATCACAATGAACATTCAATTTATAATTGTTGGCTTAATTCTACTCACTACTTATGCAGAATGTATTATGTGGTTTATGGAACCTAATGGACATAAGTGTTTAAAAGAAGAAATCCAAGGAAATGTTTTAGTTAGTGGCGAATACGAAGTTTCAATTGCTTCTGGTCAAAAAGTTGATTTTGTGGTAAATATACATCCTTGATAAATATTTTGTTTTTTAGGTTATACATGATAACCTACAATATGTTTTCTATATATAATCCATTTATCACATTTTTCAAACATTTAATCATTAATAATGTTTGAAAGTTTTATTAAACATACAATACATATAATCCATGAAAATCATAAGCTCTGTAATTCTATACATATTTTAGAGATCATAACTTTTTGTACATTTAAATTATTTCAAATTATTAAATATTATATTAATAATTTTATAGACTACAGATTCTAAAGGACATATTTTAGCACAGAAAAATGACGTACAGCAAGGGAAGTTATCTAAATTTTCATTTGTAACTGAAACATATGATACTTTTGAGATTTGTTTTATATCTCATGTGCCTCATAGTATGTATTATAATTTTATGTAAACCTGTTATATTTTATAATTTAGTCACATAGCAATTAATTAATACATAAAAATATGTTTTTAATTAAAGACACAATACATGGTTTGAATCAAGAAGTTTTATTGAATGTTAAAAAAGGCATTGAAGCTAAAAGTTATGAAGGTGTAAGTACTTTATTTTTATTAAGAAAAATTAAGAGGAACATATCTTGGTAAATTTATTGTAATGTAATTTGTTACACAAGTTTTAATATTATACAATAATTTGTATTGTACTTTGTATAAATATTGTGCCATGCTTCATTTATCTTCATTAAGTCTGTGTTTAAGCTCTATGAATAAAGAGAGTCATAATCTGTATTAGTGATATCATTAAACATGTTGGAATATATTTAAAAGATCTAGTAAAATATTCCTTTACAAGCATTATAAATTTCATTTTTTTTGTTATTCAAGAATCTACCTTTTTTAATTAAAATATTTCTTGTAAAATTCCAATAAGCTATATAATTTTTCATTATTTTATTTGCTTTCAAAATTTCCTTTTAAATGAATTTTGTCTATTATATTGAAAAATATTTAAATTATAAAAATAAATTTATTAAATATGGTTAAAATAAAATATTTTCATTTTAAGTAATCTTTAAATTTAGTTCGGATTTTAAATTCGTGTTGAAATTACATATTCATAAAATATAAATTAATTATATGCTTACAATTATAATATTTATATGTCAGATTGGGGAAGCAGCTAAGCTTAAACCTATTGAAGTTGAATTAAAACGCTTAGAAGATCTATCTGAAGCGATAGTACAAGATTTTGCTAGGATGCGTAAAAATGAGGAAGAAATGAGAGACACAAATGGTAAATAAAAAATTTTAAATAGTAAATTGTAATTATGGTATTTTTAATAAAAATATTTTATTTTAATAAATTTCTTTTTCTAATTGCAGAAGCTACAAATTCTCGTGTTCTTTACTTTAGTATATTTTCGATGCTGTGTCTACTATGTTTAGCTACTTGGCAAGTCTTTTATTTAAGGCGTTTTTTCAGAGCAAAAAAACTTATTGAATAATTCTTATCACATATTGTAATTAACTGGAGCTGTGCCCAAGTATTGAAAAACTTGGTTGACTGTTGGTTATTTCATAATGAATTATGTAATATAAATCAATGAAGTGATTATATTTGCAAAAATCTGAACAAAATTCAATAATAGCAGATTTACGCATTAAATGAATTTGTTTTTTCAAAAATAGTCCATGCAATCACTTTTTATATGATGTAGTATCTTAAGTAAATTGTTGAAAATAAGATACAAACTTGTACAGTAATTTAAATTACTTCAACTTCAGACGAACCTAGTTTGTATAGCAGTAATTGTATTTTTGTTTATTTTTTAAAGTTATGAGCGAATACATTTGTTAAAAAAATATTGTATTTTGTGTTTTTTTAATTCTACACATTAGTAGTATATTATATACATTTGACTAAACATTTTGTTAATAATAAAATAAAAATGGCTATACATGATTGTTTATGCTTATATTATTGGTAGAATGAATATGGTATTACTAATAGTATACTGAAATATTTTTCTTCCGTAGTGTGTTATATTATTAGATGTAGAAATAATAATTATTGAAAATATCTAAACATTCTTAATTATTTTTCTTAAAATTAACTTTTTTTTATTTATAAAGGAGTGCATGTAATATTTTAAAGCATTTAATTAATTTTGTTATATAAAATTAATTTGTATATTAAAAAAGAATTGTGATATAATTTAACATTTGATCCTAAACAATTAAAGTAGTATAAGAAAGTGATTATTTTTAGTTCAAAAATTGCTTTGTATGGAATTCAACTAATTTGTAACTATATAATAAATATAACAAATGTATCATTCATATTTCTTGATTAAAGTTAGGTTATAATATATATAAATGATTGTAAAATAGTTTTTTAATTATATAACTAATTTGTTTTATTTTGTGAATAAAATAAGACGTACATTTATAAATTTTTAAGTATATTTATGTGTACAATTATTTGATCTAAAATAAATTTAAGGATTACAATTATTGATTTAAATATATTCAAAATTATTTACATTATAATCTTTATTTTTTTCATTGTGGTATGATATATTGAGTTATACAATAAAGTAGTATTGGATATATATTAATGGAAATTGTTAATATCTTTATTTTTACATATTTTAAAATTTCGTCGACTTTGATGCGAATACGCAATCTATAAAAGATACAAATGCGAATTCAATATAATAGAAATCTTAACCTATAAGAGTATGCAAAGTTCATTATCAAGTTTGTACATATGAAATTTTGTAAATGACTAAATTATAATTTGCTGTAAGTATAATATACACACACACACACACACATATATATATATATATATAGTTTATACTAACTACTTATATTATTTACTAATAGATTTATTGCTTTAAAAATAATGGCAGAGCTGACTAATGCAAATGAACAATGTTTAGCTTGTAAGTTTATAAGCGTCTCTACTGTTATTAGTGCAGGACTTTATATAATTTTTAATGCTAAGTACTGTCAAAAAAAGATTTCAAAAAAATGTATGAAAAGCATTGGTGGACGTAAGTTTTTGAAAACCACTTAGTAAAACTAAAATTTATGAAGTATTTATATACAATTTTTTTTACAGTATCTATTGGAATTGGAATAGCTAAATTATTTGACTTATATCCATGTCAACACAAATTTTGTCAAGGCTAAAAATATAAAATTTATGAAATGTCTTATTCCTATTGAAATTATAAATAAAGAACAAGTATTTATAAATTTAATTTAAGATGTATATACATTGACAATAGTACAAAATAATATGTATTATAATAAATATATTTAAAATTTTTTAAACATTTTAATAATATATTGAACATACTATACGTAAAAGTAATCAAAGTCATATTAATTAGTAAAGTAAAATATATTTATTTTGATATTATATGAATATATCCTTAATTTTTTAGAATTAGACAAAAACTATGTAGTACATACATAACAATAGTCTTAACCCTGTCTAAATTCATATTATTTTAATAAAGTTTTTTTATAAATGGTTTGTTAATAAAAAAAGTAGATTTATGGTTAACATCAGTAGCTGGTCTTTATGGAGATTATTCAACATAAATGAAATCCAAGTTTTAAAGTATTTATTTAAAATTTTTACCTTTTTTGAAAAATTAAGAGAATATACAAACTGTATAATTAATTAACTTATAATATATTTTTATAATTAATTTTAAAAAATTTGGATGAATTTATTAGGATAAAATGAAGACAAAATACTATTTATCCATAAAAATATTTATTAATATACAATATACAAATAAATGAAAATATTGCTTTTTAAATATTTAAATTATTTAAATTTTATTTTAGTTCCACTTTAATTCTATTTCAATTTGCCTTTATATAAAATTTTAAAGTAAACTGTCGGTTTTGTTTACTATAATAATATTATTTACATACACAATTTATTTACTTTACTTTTGTATGCTTGAACAAAAATTGTTTTTTTTTTAATTATAGTACAAATAGTATTATTAAAATATTATATATTTTAGTATTTAAATTATTTTTAAAAGTACTATTTTTTTACTATTGTAAAAAATTTTGGAAAAATAATTTATGTTTAAAAGAAGTTTTATATGATCTAGAATTAATTTTGTAAAATTGATAACCCTTAATGCTTTTTTTCAGATATTCCAATTATATTTATTGCATGATGGAACCTGATGTTTGTTGTAAGTAATATAATAAAGATCGGATAGCAATACTTAAAATTTATTCAATTGTTAAAAGCTTAACGTATTAGTTTTCATTTAAGTATTAAATGTATTGAACCTGATTAGATTACAATAATAAATAAATTGTATTTTTTAAAATATAATTGAAATGTTATTTTCTTTTATAAACATAATTTGAATTAGATTTAATATTAAATTATAAGATAAGTTAAGAAATTAAATACTTATTTTGTTCTTTTTTAGGCAATTTTCATTTCGTTTTTCATAAATTTTTATTTGTAAACAAATGAAAATTTTATTCAATGATAATATTATAAAAAAATGAAAACTTATATTTCTGGAATAAGAATTTATATAACATTGAATACTAATTTTCATTATTATAGAAAATCATGGAAAATGCGTCCATTAAAAACTATTATCTTTTTGTATTATTTTATAATAATATTACAAATATAGATTTTTTAATTTAAAGAACGCATTTTAAGGAGCTAACAATAAAAAATAACTCACTGCAAAGTAAGCAAATAATTGTTGAGAGCTTTTAATATAAATATATTAGAAATTACTGATAATGAAACAATTTTTATTAAACGAAGTTCTTTAAATTTGGCGCTAACAATGCTGCAAGGTAGCCTGTCAGTACGTAAAAAAATTGATAAGCATAAAAAAGGACGGACCTCGCCCCTTGTCCAGCAGTTTTCCATGCATAGTTTGTATGCATTTGTAATATTTGATCTAAACAAGTAGTTTTGTGTAATTATACGATTAAAATTATTGCATATACATATATATATAAATATATATATATATATATATTATTAAACTGGTAAACGTACTACTTTTTCTAAAATAAAGAGTATTATATATTGATTCGTGGAAAAATACATATAACGTACAGATTGATATGAAGAAAATTGTCGTATTTGGCGCCACGGGAAATACCGGCTTGTGTTCCCTAGAGTATGCAGTGAAATCAGGTTATTTAATCTTTTTTTAATATTTATTACAAATGTGTAATATGGTTAAGGTTATGAAGAAAGTAATAATGTATGCATGCGTGTATAAGCGAAGAGAAAGAGAGATAGAAAATTAAAAAAAGGTAAAATGTGCGAAAGAAAAAGAGATTTAATTATTGAGTCAATAGGCGAATAGAATAAAGATAGGAAATCGTTGTAGAATGTTTATTATGGAGCCAAATTCTTAACAGTCAAATAGTAAAAGGTTTAATATATAAATTTATACTGTAAAACTTCAATGATTAGAGTGCGAAGATATATTTAAGCAATATTTGACACTATATTTTCTATAATTCTTAAAGATAATTATAAATACATATTCTGTTACTTGTAATGCATAAAGCTATAATTTTCCGCATTTTTATATTTAGTTTATTTAATTATTATTTTACTAACACTATAGTGCTTATAATATATTTCTATCATTTATCAAAGTGTTAAAATATGAATGCATTATTATGAAAATTATTATCTATCATTAAACTAATTCAGTACTAATTTATTAAATCCTAAACTATTAGTTTGTCTAATCAAAAATAGAGAAATTCTAATGGTATGCCTTGCATACTTTACTTTATGATTAAACAGCTTAATTAAATAAATTAATATTTATATTATATTTTTCAAAGAATTAAAAAAAAAGATATGGAATAATTAACTATTTAAAAATGATTGTAGAAAAATATATACAATTCAAATAACAAAATATCCACATAAGTGTATTGCAGTGTTTCAATAATTATAAGTTTATATATGCAAATTAATGAGTATTTTTTAAAAAAATTAAAAATTAATGTATATGAGAATCATCCTTAATTATTTGATATTACATTATTTTTTCTTTAATTTTTAAATTATGAAATTGGTTTTAAAAAGTTAATCTTGTGAAATATCTCAGTATATTAATTTTTTTTTTCTAATTTATTGAATTATTTTTAACAGTTCTCATTAGTTTAATCATCATGTTTTAAATATTTTCTTTAAAAGATTTTTCTCAATAAGCATAGGTAAAATGATTTGAACAGAAGAAAAATACTAAATGTAAAGTTGAAAATTTTAAGAATACAATATTTACATAAAATATTTTTCATATAATATATTATTGTAGTAAAGATTTTTATCAAATCATTAAATAAATTCATTCATTAAATTTAATTAATCAATAAACAAAAGTAGGTGAATCTATTTTAGTGTTAATAATAAAATAATTTTGTTTCATTATAAATTTATCATTTAAAATATTTTAGATTTATTTTTAAATAATTTTGTATGTTTAAATAATTGTACTATAATGTTAAATAATGAGCATAAGAATTTTAATCTTTTTGACATCTTATCAAATTAAGTCTGTAATATTGATATTGAATATGTACAAGAATGAAAAGTACTAAAATTAAATTCATTATACTTATAAAAAATATTTTGTAATTTTGTACTTGTTACAAACTTGTAAATAATATGAAAATTGAGCATGTACTATTAATTAAATTTATAATATTAAAAATTAAGATAAGTTTGATATTAAAAAAATTTATTGAATATTTATATAATTCCACAGAGTATTTTATATCTGTATAATATAAATTATTATATCTATAAAATGAAACATTATAGAATCATGAATTTTCCTACCTAAAAACGAAGATTGTTTTAATATATATGTATATTTAAAACAAATTGTAATAGATATTTAAAAAATTATAAATCACATGACTAAGGAATTCATAATGATATTAAAATATTCGTTATTAAAATAGGTGTACAGAAGTCAATATATAAAATAGAAATATATTGGATGAATTATTATATTATTTACATTGATATTTTATTTTTTACAGTATTTACTTGAATAAAAATTTTTCAATCCTTCAATGCACACCAGGTGTAGTTTATTTTGAGATTTAAGACTTTAAAGATATTTTAAACTTTACATTAAAATTAAAGCAAATGATATTTTATCATGATATCATGATATATTTTACCTAATATAAAATAAGTAAATTGCTTATTTAGTATAAGTTAAATAGATTTGTTACAATCTAAAAACTATATATACAATAGGCTAAATGATTAATTCAGATTATTTAATTACAGTAGATAATAAACATAAAATTGCAGATAATTTAATCATTATTATTTTTATTAAATATTTTTAAATAGCGTGAAATATTATTGGGATAAGTATTGAATGTTTTTTTATCATTTACATACATTTGATTTCAATTGCTTAGCATTTATTTTTTTGTTTGTGGTTTGAAGTCTTAACTTAACTTGTAAATATATGTTGATTATAGCATTGTTGAATTTTTCAGTTTCTCCACTTATTGCATCTCTTAATCAATTATTTAATGACTGATTCAAAATATCCCTCTTTCTATATAAATAGAATTTAACAATAATACAGCTTGTCATTTCATTTATGTATAATAATTGTTTTCGCATGTTTTCTTAAACATATGATAACATCATGATTTGTTATTGATATCGATAGTTATTATTTTTTTGGTTGCTATCCAAAACTAAAAAATTTAAGTAAAAACTAATATCTGATTGGTGTAATATCAGACAAGAGTATAGTGGATTGTTCATTTTATTCATAATATCCACTTGTAATGTAATGTAAGTATCCATTACAATAGTTCAGAGCCATATGTGATATCTCATTATTAAATTAATATTTATAAAAAAATCATGCGTTTGATAAATTTCTGTTAGACTTGATCATATATTTTTCTTATATTCAAGAAAACTCAAAATTATATAGAAAATGATATATATTTTGAGCAAATTATATTATGCTTTCAGATGTTTAATATGCTCTCTGCTACTAACAGAATTTAATTGTATTATATAATTGAAACATTTCAACCATTTTCAAATTGATCATGAAAGTTTTTAAAATTAAAAAATCTATATATAAAATTTTATAAATAGATATTCTGTATATTAAATATGAATATGAAGTTGATATTATTTTAATAAAATGAGTTGATAATTTTTTTTAAGAATTACTATATTTTTAAATAAAATTAAAAATGTTTAAATTATAATAAATTTAACAATATTTTTTATTTTAGTATTATTTTAAAACTCAATGACAAAAATATAAGTAATTAAAAAAGATATGTAACAAAATATATAGTGTTAAGTAAACAAATTTATTTTTATTAGCCAAATGTCATAAAATTATTTGTTATTTTTCATTATTTTTGTACAGAATAAATATTTTTTTAAAACACTAAAAACTAAATTTTACATTACCAATTTTTATAGGCTACAAAATAAGAGCATTTGTTAGAAGTGAGAATAAAATTCCTGATCATCTTCGAGATAAAGTTGAACCAATCGTTGGAGATGTAACAAAGGCTGAAATAGTTTCAGAAGCTATTTCTGGAATGGATGGAGTTGTTGTGGTACTTGGTACCAGAGATGAAATTAGCACGTATTTTTATTAAATCATATATAAGTAATGATATTAAAGTATGAAATTTATGTGCTGACTTCTGTGCAGAGCCAACAACTGTTATGTCTGAGGGTATGAAGAATATCATTGATGCTATGAAAACACATAATGTACAGGTGGTTTCTGTATGCTTATCAGGTATAATGATATATACTATTGTATTTATGTTTTTATTATAGTTCAATTGGTATTATTAATACAAACACTTGAAGTTTGAAGATTAGGTTTATAACAAAAATCAGAATATTTTCTTTAAATTTTTAGCATTTTTATTTTATACTCCTGAAAAAGTTCCTACGATATTTAAAGATCTTAATGATGACCACCAAAGAATGTTTGATCTTGTTAAGCAATGTGGATTAAAGTGGATCGCTGTTTTACCACCACGTATAACAGGCAATATATTTTATTGATGTTTATTTTAATATATTCGATTAATATTTTGTATAAATTTAAGATATTTTAATATTACAGAACTACCCAGTTCTAAATATACTATTAAATATGATGAATCACCAGGGCATACTATTTCTAAGTATGATTTGGGTGAATTTTTAGTCAAAAGCCTAGTGCAGCCAGAATATTATAAAAAAGTTTGCGGGATTGCAACGAATTCTTAATGCAGTTTCATATTATAAAATGTATAGTTTAATCTTGAAAAATGTAACTAATTTTATATTTTCTATACAGAAATTATAAATTTTATTGAAAGTAAATAATATTTGTTAAAATAACTATTTAAAGATAATATTTTTTATAAAAAATGTATAGAAATTATATTATGCATTTAAAATTTTGAAGATATTAAGTAGAGATGCTAAACTTATTTGAATCATTATATATTATGGATTAGCACAAATGATTAAATATCCATTTTAATTTTCAAGTAGCTAGTCAAATTATATTAATTTTTTAATTTTTTTATCTTATAATATGAAATAAATACTTTTAATATTACTTTAAAATAATATTTTAATAAATAATATTTAAAAATAAAATTGATCTTCTATGGTGTATTAATTATCAATTAAAACTGAAACTGTGTAAACAAGTTCTTTTAGAAAAAAGTTTTAAATTATAAAATAATATAAATTATAATATAAAATAATAAAATATTAAATTATTCAATTTAATAAAATTATGAGCAATAAAAGTAAAAGGATATTTATTAATATCATGTATTTTTATAAATATGTGTATTATTATTAAATAATGGATTAAAAATTTTTTCCAATAAATGAAAAGACAAATTATCTATTTAATATTTAGGAAACAGATTCATTTAATTATTGTTGACAACCAAATGTATTTTTGCATGAGGTTGTTTTGTATCTTTATATGAACAGAGAAGTATATTACAGTGTTCAATAGTACAAGTAAAAATACATATTGATTTGGGTTAAGAATGATTTTTAGTTTTAAAATTGTCATTGCAAGCTTAACAATATGTTATTATTAATTGATGTATTTCTAATGAACCAAGAAAAAATGTATAAGTAATATTATATTTAATTAATTATAATAAAATATCAATTTTTATTAAATAAGAATGTCTTTAAAAAATTTAATCAAATACATATCTGATATATTTATTTATAAAATTACTCTTAGTAAATATTTAATGCCTACTTAATTTGAAAATAATGGGGAAAACTATATCTTACTGTAAATAAATGCATGTTCATTGCAACTTAATTTCATTTAATTTTTTAAGGTATTAGCAAGTTTAAGTAGTACTTTTTTTATGAAAGCTTTTATAATATTTATATAACGAAAACATTAATTAATCAGAGTAAGGAAAAGATTAATAAGAATTATTACTGATTAAAAACGGTACATTTCAAGATAATTTTTGAAATAATTTTACAGTAATAAATATATAATTATATAATATACTATACATACATTTTTATTTATAAAAAAAGGCTTATGTTGTTGTTTTTATATTCATTTAAAACAAAATAATCTATTAAATAATATAAATTACATTTAATTTTAAAAGTCAAAATTCTTATATGAAATATTAATTCTATATTTATTAATAAACGCCTATATTAATTTTTTTAAACACATTTTAAGATGCTTTTTTCATAAATATATTGTTATGTAAGTATAATATTTTTGACTGTTTTCTAGTTATTATTTAAAGAAAATTGTATAATTTCCAAGCATCAAATGTCCAAATTAACTATATCCAAATACTTCATAGAAATATTTCAATTATAATGTGTTATTATATTACATCATGATTTTTTACTATTTCAATGTTAAAATTAGTATTCTTAGTTTTTACATAAGTCTATTGATATACCATGGTAAAAGTTAATATAAAATTATTTTAATTTTATTGAATGAATTCTTTTTAATTTTATGGATCATATTATTAAAAATTACATTTACACTCAAGTAATAGCAACCTCTTATTCTCTTATTTGAAATTCAATTACATATATAATAATGTAATGTTTTTAAAAGTAGATTTAATTAAATAAAAGTCTTAATAACATTTCATAGTTCTTGTTTAAAGAAATAATTTTTATTTACTATTTATTTCTATACAAGTTGGAAAAGTTGAAAAACTTAAAAAGAATTTTTATAAATTACATACATATATTAAGTTTACTTCCAAATAAAAATATATTTACAGTCTGAAGGAGTCTTCCGATTCATTTATTAATATCGTTTGTTTTCCAATATTTTCATTTTGTCACTTGTGAAATAAATCATTTAGTATATATTTATAAATTGAATCATAAGTATGACACACAATGAATTTTTATCAAATCAAGATTTATCAAAATTTAGTAGTTATGATAGTATAATTACTACTTTAACTTTTTCTAGAATTTCAACAATATAAGTGTAAAGTAATTATATGTTCATAAATCAACAAATTAAAATAAGAGAAAATCAAGTAAGTACATTTTTTCAATTTTATTTCAAGTTAAAATAATGATAAAATAATTTGTTTATGAAACAAATTTGTTAGTTTCTTTGTATTCAAAATGCAGACATGCTGTTGAGTTATGATCGAAAATTTATGAAATCGAGATGTGATCTATTACATCTTTTACGTGAAATGTATCAAACAACTAGCTGTATCAATCATTAATTGCCACTATAGTAATTGTTTTTACATTTTTAATAATCATAAAGATTCTATCTTGTGATATAAGTTTCTGCATTCCATTTACATTTGATAAAACTTCATCAACGCTTTTTTAATAGCGTTCCAAGAGACATACAAATTAAAATAATGAAGAAATAATAATTGAGATGCTTAAGGTTGTATTATTATTATTAGCAAATAAAGTAACAGTTATTATTTTAATTAGAAGATATGCAAACAGATAAATAATTTCACTTACAAACAAGACTAATAAAAATAATAATAAAATAATTGAGTTAAACATTTCTTTCTTTTTTTTTATTACATAGTTTACATCTTATTATAAAAATATTTATGCAGTATTTTTACTTTATTTTTTTTAAATCAACTTGTATTAAAATTTTCTGTATTTAGGATTTGAATGAAGAAAAATAGATTAACTAAAAATTCAAATAAAATAAATATAAAAATTTTAATTCGTTATTAATAAAATATATTTATAATTTGTTAAGAATTTCTAAAGGTGTTTATAGTATTTCATGAAATTTTATATATAAAATATTAAAATTTATTATTAAAATTAATACGTTTAATTGTGTGTATATTTAATTTATTCGCTTATATGCTTTATCTAAAATGCAATTTTAAAAAAGCAATAAATTATATTTATAAACTTAACTGCAGGCACATTTAAATAGATTAAATTTTTGTTCAATTATTAAAAATTTGATTAATAAAATTAAAGGCAGGGACAATAAAAAAAACAAAATATTTTTCAAGACTTGACACAAAATATATTAAACTCCGAATAATACACCGCATACATCATTTACTTGTCAAAGATACGTAGTTAGTGCGCGACCGTCCTCGTCGCGTTCTTACCTTTTTATTCACTTTTCTTTTTATTTTGTCCTTTTATAATAAATATCATGCGTGCCAATTGAGCGGCGTTGTGACAGTTTTTTTCAAAAAATCTTCTCACATTCGCGTTTTATTTTTTATTTTTTTCGTGATCATATTTTTATTTGCGCATTATAACAGTCGTTCTCCTCTCCTCAAGTGAATTTTATGTATGCACGTCTGTAATTATATATATGTATAAGTCCATTCTTCTTTTTAAGAAGAGGATCCGCACCATTCAATTTATCTTTAGTTTATCTTTTATTTATATTCGCTAATTATTTGTTTCCGATACAAAGAAACTTATATCGTTGATGATTACATATGCTGCATTTGCTTTATATGCTTACTCGTAGTTGTTTTGATATGTTTATTTTGAGTCCTTAACGAATTGCATGGAATATTTTGTAGGCCTTATTTTCCTTCTCGTTGTTAGTTTCGCCCTTTAATTGTGTTTCGTCTTTTACACGCAACTCTCTGGACCGGGTATGGAATTTGCGATGATGATTTCTTTCATAAGATTACGGTCGGTTTTGAAACTTATTGGCTCCCATGATTTTGCAGAAAATGGATTCAACTATGAAACAGATTTCATTTTTAATATCTTAAATTTCTAATGAAAACTGAATAATTATATAATAAAAAGCGGAATTGAAATAAATTATTCATGTTTATCCTGTATTCTAATTTTAATATTTCGAAACACAATTTTTAAATCATAAGTGATATTCGAATATGCTTATTTATAAAGTATAATTTTGTATTTATCAATTTTTTCATAATAAGGTTTTACCAATTATCATTTATTAATGCTTTTAAATAGAATTTTGAAAGTTGAGTATTTATCATATTAATATTTTTCAACAAATAAATTTATAATAATTTAATAAATACAGCTTAATTTCTTTTTGTAGATGTACAATTGGAATAGTATTTACGTAATTTTATTTCGGTTAATCAAAATGATTATATATAATAATTATTAATGTATACATTTTTTTAATTTACCGTGGAAGTTTATAAAACGAATTTTAAAATAAAAATATAATTCGTAATACCTAAATATGTTTGTTGTTATTTATTTAAATCAAAATATGAATTTTTTAATATTTATGATGCTTACACTGCATCGATTCGTTTGAAGTCCTTGTTTATGAATATCATATGGAGCAAAGAGTGTATCTGGCCTAACAGGTAAGAAAAGCTGTGGTTCACGTTTAATTTTTTCTTGGTCTGCTAAAATAATAAGCATAAACATATATATAGTATCAATAATATTTATAATACATTTATATTTATTATGATCTATTTAAAAAAATGAAAAAATTAAACAAATGATTATGAATTTAAATATTGTTAATAATTCATATTCATTAATTTTATAAGAATAATATTTGTTAAAGTATAATAAAATTTTTTATCAAAAAGATTAAATTTTAAAAGAACTTTTTATCTAAATAATGTTTGATCACATTTAAGTCATAATTACTGGTACATTAAATTTAATGTAAAAATAGTTTTATCTTTTTGATAAAAGTATAATGGATATAAAAATTATATATTATATAATAATTTATATATATATATATATATATATATATGTGTTTTTTAAACATTTAAAATATTTTAATAAATATAAAATATTGATGAACCGTATAAAATGAGACGTTGAAAAAATTTCATTTTCAAAAATGTATAATATTTAAAAATTTTATATAATATCAAAAGATATATTTATTTAAATAAAACTAAAAAATATTTATGATTTTATGATAGTTTTAATGTGGTTAAATGCACTGATTTTTAATTTTCATATATTTTGTTTTCATAAAATATAGAAATTAAAAAATTCTATTGTATATAAATTTTTATAGTTTATTTTTAAACACGTATTCATTAAATCCTGTTATTATTATATAGATATAATATAACAAAAAAATTAATTGTGAAAATATTAAACAAAAATCAATAATGTAACATTGAAATTATGAATATTTATATTTATTTAGATATAATTTTAATATCTAATATTTATAAATATGTAATCAAGTTATAAATAATTATATTTTATTAATGAGTTGACACATTTACACACTTATGCATAGAAGCACGGAAGCACACATTTATTCAAATATTCGTATGCTATAATCATAAAACAGTAATTATTACATATAATGTAATATTTAAGTCTTTGAACGTTTATTAAAAAGATATATGTAAATTAAAAAATAAAAGTGTGGTGATGATCAGATAAGTTTATATTTTGATATCAGAATTGTTTGCATAGATTAAATAATAACAATCTAAAATAGCATTAATACCTAATATAGTCCTACCTTGGGGTGACTGGATGATGTCAGGCTGATTATTAAGGGTGTAGTCTGCGACCTGTTTCAGGGTATACTCGACAAAATAGGTGTGCTCGCCATGAGTGACATCAAGCATGGAGTTATTGCGTGAGTCTGGAGGCGTTATGATCGGCTGTTTCATGTATGGTTCGATGTGTACAGGAGATGTCGTGCCGCGTCGACGATACATCATCAACATCACCGAAACAATCGTGATGCCGAGGGCCATGAGGCAACCCACCAGCAGTAGAATTAAAGGAACCATACTCACCGAACTCTCTGTTTGAATAAACAACGAGAACTTTATTATGTTTACCCATGTATACAATATTATATTTTTTAATAGAATTTTTATTTAAAATACGATGATATTTAGATATTTATATTTCAATTTTATATGTGCAAACGTTTCATATTTATAAATATACCATCTTCTGAAATTCAATTTATATTAATTACTTTGTTAATATTGATAAATTAGTTTACAATATTTATAATAGCATTAATAAAAAACAATAATATTACAATATTCGTGTATCTTTATAATATTATAATATGTACATCAATTAAATTCTTTAATTATCAAATTTAAAATATTTCCATGAATATAACATTGAATATTTAATGTAAAATATAAATTATTTAATATATAACTTTGTTTTTTACTATAAAATATTTGTTCAATGTTTCTATGAAATACCTTAATACTTAAATAAAGATCTAACAGAATTTTTTCAAAAATAATTCATTTAAGACCAAATTTTTTAATTTTGAAAGTAATGATAATTTTTTTTATTTTAATAATTAGTTGTGCATGAATTAGAAATACCATGATAGAAATTCAACGATTAAAAAAAAAACAATTTTATAATATATTTTATCAATTCTTTTATTAGTTATTGTTTAGATAATTACATTGGCCGTTTTCTTTTTTTAGAAAGTCTTTACTTAACTGACATTAATATTAAGAGTTTTATATTCAATCTATATTTTTAGTATAGAATAATCAGTTTCAAATTATTTGAAATATGTTATAATTCTCTGACTATACAAATTATATTTTTATATGTTAATAGAATAGTGATCTTTAAAATATTTAAAATAGTTAATTAAAGATTCATAAGTATTTTTATAAATTATTTTTATAAATTATAAATAAATTTTAAAATTTTTGAAAAAATATATTCAAACATTTTTTTGGAAATAATTATGGAGACCAAATAATTTTAACTTTAATTCAAGATGTATTTTCACGTAATCTTTTTGTTTCTTTAATTATATTATTTATTTATGTTCATTTACTTGTTAATTAATTTGGCACGGACTGTTAAAATGTAGATTTTATTATTTTTACAAATATTTTTCTCGAGAAGAGATAGAAACTTAAAATATCTAAAGTCATGTTCATACATCACGAATGACATCGATAAAAAGAGATAAATTGTAAGTTTATAAGCAGCAGAGTGTAACGAGACACGTTTATTGCAGTGTGCTCTTACCTGTATGTTTATCCGAATCACCAAGAATAATATCTTCAAGAACTGATACTTCACTTCGACCCTTGGCATTTATTGCATATACTGCCAAGTAGAAGAGGGTTGCAGGTAGAAGCTCACCAACCGGTATCCGAAATACTGCCATCTCGCTGGTCACGCTTGTTATATTCAGTCTCAGTTTGCCAGTCGTCACCTCATATGCTTCCAATCGAAATTCTTGTCTACAATGTCATTCTTTATTAATTACTTTAAGGTTGATCGGAAAATATGAGGAAAATGCCAATTTCTTACAATAAATTAATGTATTTTTCCTTCCTATAATTTTATTTGTAGATTTATTAATGTTGATTGTTTTTTTTTGTTTTATTTGGTTGATTTTTTATTTTTTGATTGAATAATTTATTGATGTTAATAATTATATAACACGATAGTTATTGGAAAAATTTTGTTTATCAAAAAATTCATTTTCTGTTGTTAAAATTTAATAGAAAAGCTAGATTAAATTTTTTTTCATATTTTCTAAAATTTTAAAATCTTATGTTTTTTTTTTATTATTAGTTAAAGTAAATTAATCACAAAAATTGATTTTTCTAATGAATTAGGATTAATATAAAAGTGTAGTTCTTTTTATTTATTAAAACTATAACCTTTTATCTCTAATTAATTTATACTTACTTCTTTAAAAGATGAATAAAAAGACAATGCTGTCTAGATTTATCTTTAAAATTTGTTTATATTTGAGTACATTTATATTTAATAAAGATTAGAAATTATTAGTAACTATCTTAGATACTTAATGTATATATAATTCGTTTGGAATGATAATAAATATTAAAAAAATGGAAATAAGCCAACGATACAAATAACAAATTTTAATAGTATTTATAAAAGGCAAGGATTTGTTGCAGGAATTGAAAATCTAAAATAAATGAAGTTGTCTGTTAAAATATAATTGTTATTTTTTATATGTATTTTTATATGTTTGTAATTTTAAACAAAAAATAAAAATTTTACTTATGATTGAGATGATAAAGGATGTTGTAAATAGTGTTTGCTTATAACAAGCTTATTTTATTTTCTGAAATTTAAATATTTAGTATACAGTAGTAATATTTATATAAACAAATATAATTGTGTAACTTATCAAAAATGCTAAAATCAAACTTTATTTAATTTAATATTTCAATAATTGAAATATGTACATTTAATGTAAGCAATATTATTCATAAAATGAAGTTTTCATTTTTTTAAAAATTAGTGCCAAAAATATATGTAACAGTCTATTAATTTTGTTATAGTAGCCATCTTGTTTGTTTAATACTTATTTTTATGCTTCAAATAAATTAAATTATTAAAAAACAACGATATTTTTTTTATAATAATTTTCATTTTCATAACTATTATTTTTATATTTAAGTTTGTTGTATGAAATATTATGATTTCTTAAAAACAAAATAAACTTTGTTTATCTTGAGTTTCTTACAATTATTTATTATAATTTATTTTTTTAACTTATTCAATTAATTGATTTTTAAATATAGAAAAAATGATTTCTTTAAAAAAATTTAATGTGTTTTACTTAAAATTTATATAAAAAATATTATATAATTCAGAAATTAAAATTATAATATTAATGAGAACTAAAAGTTGAATTGATTAATGTATATTGATATGAAAATATTGAATATATAAGTAAGAAAAAATTGCATTTTATTGTTGCGTTTATATATAATTTAAAAAAAGTCATTTAATGGTAATATTAATAGTTGGTAGACAATTTGATAGAGGAATACGCTAAATTAATTGTTATGTTATTTAAAAAACATTGTCATTATGATAATCAAGAACATATTGTGTGCTGCTTATCCGAATGATATATTACTAGATATATATAAATTATATTATTTGAAAAGTCACAATAGACGATTACAATCGTTTATGATGGTTTGACTTAGAGGTACCCGCAATAAGGATATGCATATGGTATTTCTGTTTCTCATATGTTGTGCTTGATAAAAGAAAAAATGAATACATAAAAATTAGGACTTCCGTATATTGTATAATGCATTAACATAATTGTCATTGTTATTTATAAAAAAAATTAATGTAACAGAAGTAATAATAATGAAAAATAAATAAGCTTCATATAAAAGACAAAAAATTAATAATTGATATTCTGTGTTTTACCAGCAGCAAAAGCGTAATATAACTAAAATTAAGAAATAGTATTACATCGAAATAGTGATTCGATAATGGTAATAAGAAATTTCAGAAAATAAAAGATTATTTGTTGGATTGGAGTTTTTGAGATTGATTTGTACGTTTCCTATAAAATTCAGTGGTATGAAAGTTCTCATTAGTCGACTATTTTAAAAATTAAAACATAACATAGTTGAATATATAAATTTAAACATAAATATTAATTATTAATACATTAAAGTTAAAACTATTAAACTAATAATCGTAATTATAACAACAACAATAATAAACCTTTATACGCTTTTTCTTGTAATAGCAATGACATTATGTTAAAATTATTTATTAGAAGAATAAATAGTATTATTGTTTCAATAATAATAATTAACCTTCATAATATGAGAGATTACATTTCTCTATGAATATTTGTATATTTATTATAAAGCTTTGTTCGTATTTAATGGTGACCAATTTGTACAGCCAGTTGAAATACATGCGCAGGAACAAATATACTTAAAGCTGGAATGTGAGTAGGAGTTTATAGATGATAGAATAGCAGTAACAATGAGCATGAGAGGGGAGGGCCGACCTGAGCCCGCCGTCGTAGCCGGGCATGCACTCGATCTCGAGCATCTCGGTGGTCTGATTGAGCGAGGATTTGGTAGTACAGTTGCTGAGAGGACTGGGTTTGATCGCTGGTATTATTTGGTAGACGCATGGTGCTGCTTGCTTTCCTATTGGGTTCCTACCCCAGCAAGTTAGAGCCCCGTAGTCTCGTTCGGATTTAGGTGTGTATACAAGGTCGCTGAGAGTACCGTTATTTCCATCAAACTTAGCCAACGCTACATCAAAGTTCTCCCCGCTGTTGTTGAATTCCCAGACAAAGTCGACTTCTGCAGGATCGGCCTCAACCTCACAGCGAACGCGCACCGACTCTTCCAACGAAGCACCGATTATTGTTACCTCCTTCCTCTTACATATGGGTGCAACTAGAAAAATAGAAATATAATGGCTCACACACCTATTGCTTGGCTTTTGGTTTTTGAACGCATTCTGAAAATTCCATTATGTTATATATTCTATTGTTTTTATGTTAGAAGTTTTATGGCTCTCTAATATAAGATCAATTTTGCAAAATGATTACTCTTTTTAATGCCAAAAGAAGTTTTTTATACTATTGTATATTTATTGAAAAATTAAACTTTATTTCAAATTTTAAGTATGTACATGTGAAAGTAATCTATATTATATGCACTGAAAATTATAATCATGCTAATTTTGAATTTTTAAATATTATGTATGATCAAGTAAGATGAAATTAAATAATGCATAGCTATTCCATTATAGTTTGATAATATGTAGATATCTACATTTATCGTTTACATTATAAATTATTCCTAGCTCAAATCATACTTTCACTAATGTTTATTAAATTATTATGCAAATTAATGCAATTGATAATATCAATTACTTTATACACAAAGCGTTTTATAAAATGAAATTTTCAGATCAGTATTTACTCGCCTTAAATAATAATTAATAATTTTGAATATATTCTCGCTGGTAGGAGAAATCATAATTTTATAGTATTATTTATTTATTTATAATATTTATTTTATAATTAAATTTGTAGTAGTGCATGGAGATAAGTTCAACAATAAAATAAATGAGAGTATAAAATTAATGGAAAATTTATAATCAGAGAACTAAGATATAACTGATGAGTTATTTTTAACATTACTTACTAATTTTGAGATATTGTAACACAACCTTAGGAAGTGAATTTTCGGACCTAAAGTAATTGATGGGAGGCTGAACGAAAATATGTGATATATTAGAAAGGAAAAAGAAAACAGCAGAGAGATGCTAGATGAGAACGAGATGGCGGAATAAGAGGGAAATTGGATGTAAGATAGCATTATATGATTGATAGATGGAAGGGTGAAGGGTAGTGATCAGGGTGTGGCGGTAACTTAGTTATTCACTTACACTGAACTCGAAGAGCAACGGTTGGGCTAGTGGTCTCGCCTCTATCGTTGCTGACCAGACATGTGTAATTCCCTGCATTCTCGCGCTCTATACGCTGCAGCACTAAACTCTGCGTGCTTGTTATTATTCGAGCCGAATAATTCTGCATCAGAACGCCACCCTGTCGAACAGCCATGTAGCCATCATTCTTTACCCTTTTTATTGGTACTGTCATTTACTTTGTTTCTTCTCTCTCTCTCTCTCTCTCTTTCTATCTCTTTCTCTCCTTCTCTCTCTCTCTCTCTCCCTCTCCCTCTCTATCTCTCTCCCTGTCTCCCATTCTCTCTCTCGTATTACCTATGAATGCGTGTACGTATGAAAATGAAGGTGCATTTGTGAAAGCAAACGTATATATGAATATGCGTGCGTATCGTTTTCTGAAAGAAGACGAGTATGTATAATAATATACCTGTAACTGTATATGAACTCTTGATTTGCATTTCATTTCAATGATCGATTTGACAGATTGTTATTGTTCTTGTAAACACTAATATACTCGATTAAAATTTAATCAAAGTTGTTATATATGTGTTGTATATGTGGTATTATCAAATTTATTTTAAAATCTTAATTATTGGAAAATTTATATTAAATATTTTATTATTATTATGAGACACAATTATATTGATTTATAAAATATTATCATTTACTGAATACGTTATAATTTATGTGTATCAATGTTCATATATAATATGAGATGTTAATAAATGATTAAATTAAGAAATGTTTTATATTTTTTAAGATATTCTGTCTATGAATGACTTCTAAAAATTAAAATTGAACATTTTTTAAAATTATAGTTGAAATGAATAAAAATTGGATTATATTTTTTAAATATATCATGTATAATAATAAAAATAATAAAACTATAATTCAAATATTTACATAGTTTCAGATTTTTTTCCTATTAATTTATTTTTATTAATAATTTTAAACATTTTGAAATATTTAAAGTGAAAATTTGTACAATTATTTGTATAAAATTAAATTCCATAAAAAATTACTGTTATTATTAAAATTTAAGTTAGAATCAATTTGTAAAATCAAATGTATTTGTTTTATACTTAATTTTGCGAGAGATTTCAACTTTCTGTCTATTTCACTTGTTAAAAGTAATTACAATTGGCCTTTACAATGACCGGCAGATAAATAAAAGAAGTAGAATATTGAACAGCGAGTTCAAGTAAGGGTCAGTGGCATTTTTAAATGAAAATTCACTGCAATGACACTCTTATAAAAGTAAGTTGGAAATATAGCAATTAAGACTCACATTGTGCCGCCAAGTGATCTTGTGATGTTCCGGATTGGCGCGTACCTTGCATTCGAAATAGACGTCATCACCTTCTTTGATGTTTTCAGCTTTTAGGGTGCTGCCCAATTCCAACTGTACCTTTGGAGGGACTACAAAAGCACATAAATATAGCGTATAAACATAAGAAATTAGAAGCATTATATAAGTGCTTATTTTTTTCACTTCAATTTAAAGTTATCTGTGAATTTATATTATCCAATTTTTTTTATTAATTTGAAATATCTTCGGAATTTGTGTATATAATTTTTAAATTTCTATTATTAAAGTAAATGTCATATTATATTCCGAAATTCTCTACTGGTACAATGAAATATGATAGTTTATTTGCATTTCTTTTTTAATTATCGTGTTGACTGATTAGCTACGTCGTAGTTTTGAAACTTAAGCCTTGTAGGTACTTAATATATTTTATTTATTTATATCGTTTTAACTGTTTATATATCTTTTATAAAAATATTCTCTGACTTGTAATATGTAATTCTTTTAACCGATTTTGGAGCAAATTTGTAAATTATAACTTTAACTTTATTAAAATCTTTTTCATAATTTTATAATTAATAATATTATTAATAATTTTTAATAATTATACTAAAGATGTTGATTTCATAACTGATTTAATTATTAGCTTATATGATCAATTAATTTTTACTTTCTATAAATTTATTACTTTTTTTTTTAATGTATGCAAAATATATATACGACTTTAAATTTATGAACAAATTAATAATTATCCGTACATTAAATAACTTTCTACAGCTTCAATAGAATTTTCAAATTTATTTATTTTAAAAACTACTATTTAATTGAAAAAAATATTGTACTAATAATAGATATTATTTAATTGTGAATTAATACAGTTTTGTTGAAAATTCGAATACAATATCAAAGTTGAATTAAATTTTTTCCGTGTATTGATTTAAATTAAAACAATCTTCGTAATGTTTACTACTAATTTACAACAAATACTAAATAAAACAAATTAAAGATAAATATATAAAAATACATAAGTAAAAAGCTATTAAAGTATACATTGTTTTGCATGCTATACAGGTGTGTGATACATTCTTTAGTAAAGGATTATAATGTTAGAGTATAGTACGCGTTATAAAAAAGTTAGAATGAAAAAGGGATCGGAA